TCCCAAATGCATGGAACCTTTCTGTTGCACTTTAGCTAATTCTCCTTTAGCATAATTTAGCATTGTGTCTCAAATCCAACAAAAATATGTTTAGTCTTTGTTATTATTATATTTATTTATTTATTTATTTATATCCCACCATTATTATTTGTATAAAACTCAGGATGGAGAACATACCTAATATTCTTTCCTCTTCCTATTATTTTAAACATGCAAGTAAAAAAAATGGGTTATGAAAAATAACAAAATAAAAACCATCCATGTTCTCTTCATTGATATTCTAGAGAAAATGAGAGGCAGTATATTTGATTTATATATCTAATGAATCGTGCTTTACCATTGCCTCCAAAATGGATTGCAGTATAGATACTAATCCAGAAAATAAAAAAAACAGAAAGAAAAAGATTCTCTTAATCAAATAGTAGCCTTATGTAACAAGAGAGACTTTTCTATAACACCTGCTCATCTTGCTACATTTTACATTAATTTTAATAGGATATACATATGTTAGGTGTCAAAACAAAGAATTTTCAGAATTGCTTGGTAATTTTGTAAATATAAATCACTGGCACTGTTGAATATTTAATAAATTATAGAGAAATAGCTTTTCATCACTTTGGCAAAGGTTAACATTTTTGGTGAAAATTTAAGCAAGCTAATATATCAGAACACAATACACTTTACATAGTCTATTACCAGCAGAGACAAAACACTAAAATTAAAAAAATAATAATTTGGTAATCCAAGTGAAATACAATAAGATTGTTATATTGGGAAAAGAAAATTCCAAGATCAGGTTATTTTGGTGGCAGTTCTGCCTAGTTTACAGTAAGGAAGAAATAATAAGTCATTGTTTTCTTTTTCCTACCTGTGTGGGTAGATATTTTTTAAAAATCAATAATTTCGGATAGGTAAATTGGAAATACTGAATGTTAGTGCTTTTATAGAAAAATATTTTTATTATTATTGTCACTTCAAAGATCTTGATGAAATTTAACTATAGTTCTAAAATAGAAATGTAGACATTTTGAAATAAGGGATTAGGTCTGTAATAACAGCAACACTTATTTAATTGCACTAAAGATTGGAAGATTGAGGAAAGTAAATCCTTTGTAATATGGCATTTACAGTTCTGTGCATGAGTTTTTGACTTACAGGTTTTGACAGATGGGGCAAAAGAAAAAAAAAAGAGCAATGAGAGCTTAGGCAGAGATTAAGCGGATTGGTTTGGAAGAGTAAGGAAATCCTGAGGGCCCAGAAGCTGAAAGTGACTGAGAGGAAGGTCATATTATGAACTTAGCAGAGGATTTTCTTGAGATTGAGGAGAATAATTTAGCAATGACTCTGTTTATTTCCTAATCCGCTCAGTTCATAAATTCAGAAAGGTGGGATCTTCTGTTGTTTCTCACAAGATGATCCCTGTGGTTTATCCTGATTGTTGATACAGCAAATGTCAGCCTTGTATTTACTCCTCTCAGGGGGAATTTTAAGAGTAAAGTCTATATTTAATTATGTGAGGACCATTTAAAGCCATGGACATGAAAATAGAAAAAGATTTCTGATCAGCATGTTCAAAGGGTTTTTTCCCCCCCAAAAGGATTTAAATATTAGTAAAGCTAATTTCTGGCAGTTTCTGCTACATGAAGTTGTTCATTTTTGTTTTGTTTTTGCCTTTTAAATTACAGAATTAATGAATGATGCAATTCAGAGTAATACATAAAGTTTTTTTTAAAATTCTGCATATGTCTAGATGACAAAAATTTGAAAATTAAATCAACCAAATTATACAGAACTGGTTCATAATATCCCTTTGATTCTATTTAAAATATACTGTGCTGAAAATAAATGTTTCATTTTTTTATTGCAGGAAGAATGGTTTTACATTTTATAATTATGGTGACTGTTTTAAAAAGAAGAATAAAGTATCCCGCTTAGGATACAGCAGAACAATAGTGGGCATGCAGTTATTTTCGTCATGTAATATGTCAGCATTCAAGAATCTGAACCGATTGTTTAAAAAAATCTTGTACTTTGTTTCTTTTGTTGCTCATTTCCAACTTTGTCATCTGTCAGAATGCACAAAAAAATTATCCTTCTATAACCATTGACAGGATAACACAAAAGCTGTCTCCAGGTCGATATTTTGCAGCAATATTTTTAACATACGAACAGTAGTTTTTATAATTTCACCTTGGTGCTCAACCATTTATTATCGTATCAGAAGCATGTCAGTAATTCCTTTCTAAATGTCTGCTTCTTTTAGCGCTGAGAACCACATCAAGGGCTTCGTGCTGAACGATGCTGCCAGCAGCCTCCTCATCTTAACGCAAGTTAGGCGGGATTATTTGAAAGGTATGTCACAATGCTTGACCTTTACGTCACATTAATGCCTCTGCAGATTTTTCTTGTAACGCCCTTCGAATACTTGGATAAAGGAGTCCATTTAGCAAATTACCTGCTTATCAAGCGCCTTTTGTGGTAGCTGAGAGACGTAAATTACTGTACATGCATTTATAATACAGCTTGAATATGAATGTACTTGTCATTTGACCACTTAGTCCAGTTTCCGTTCCATTTAACACAAGATGGGTTTTCTTAAGATGAATCACAGCTCTTCAGACATGCAAAATTTGTGTTCCAGAACGAGAAAAAGTACAGGCTTTCAAATGCGTTAAAATTCACAGCACAATTCATTTTGCTTTGGAAATTAACATACCTTAGAGCATCTGAAACAATTCCCAGCAGTTTCTTCCTGCACAATGTGTTTGTAGCACCAGATACCAAGTGAGTTAAATTGAGTGTTAAATGTGCGTGGCTGTGCACTAAATGTTTATAATACTGATTTTTTAAAAACTTAATCAAATACTTTTAATAGTTCTCAATGCCAGCAGTAATAAAACATACATTGTCCTTTTGTGCTCTTTGTGAACTTACTTTGCGTGGTAACAGCAGTATTGGCTAAACAGTGTAAATGCTTGTGAATGCAGTGGTGGACAATTTTACTGTTATTCTATATTCATTTATTTGAATCTAGTTTAGATTCATCTTGAACATCTGCCTTCAGAATCTACTGGTTTTCATTTAGCAAGAAGGCAAGTCAAGTTTTAGATCACTGAACTTGCACAAATTTACAATTTTATACCACAGTTGTTATGGATTGCTGATGGAAAATGTTTTTTGTGTTTTTCATCATATGCTTAAATGCATCTTTTCTATATTTCATTTCATTTGTAGTCCTAGTTTAGCAAATGACCTTCTTTAAGGTAGGAGGACTATTGCTAAATCATTTAGTTTCACGAATTCTCTGAAGAATATATCTTAGTTTAAATATATTGGAGTTGGATAATCTGTAGCCAATAACATTATACAGTTCTTGGCTTAATTAAAGAGTCCTTTAAGTTGTACAAGTTCAGATCTCTGATAAAAAGTGCCTGTCCTTTAGCAGCCTATGGTGTGGGAAGAAGTGAAGGTGTCTGAAGCAGCATAGGAACAAAGATGATCAGAAGATGAAAAAAATGTAGAAAAAACTGGGTGGCCTGTCCATATTTTGCTTTGGCCCTACTTATATTCTGCTTAAGCTCCATGTGGTTCCCAAGTGATTATCCCCAGGGAATCCTTTCAACAGAAATAATTGCCCATCAATCAGCTGCCATGACCCTATAATGCCAGACATGATATCCTGAATCTCAAAGTATTGAGAAGTCACTGGGAGAATAGCTTCTCCCTCTTCCCTTGAGGCCAGTACTTAAGCAAAATGTCTACAGCATAGTGAGACATCTTGCTGTTCTCCCATAATTTGCTTTTTTGGCTCCCTCTTCAACAGCAACTAAAGAATACAGTAAAAGATTGCAGATAGATTGGCAGAGACTTCCTGCTTCAAACTATTGAACTTGAACTTCTCTGCTTTTATTTGACCTCTAATTTCTACAAATGTGTCTGCTTCCCTTTACTTTTCCCTTTCCTTGGCTAGATGCCTCCTGGCTTGCCCTCAACAATGGCTAATGAAACACTTGCAAGTCTTGAGATCATTTTCTCAGTACCGAGTGCATTAATCCTGTTTCTCTGTGCTGTGTTTTATTTATCTAGCCAATTTTTTATTCTTTAGAGCAGAGCAGGGAAGCTAGTATAAAAACTGTACAACTGAAATTGGATGGATTCTGTATTTTAAAAATACTTAATACGATGTGCTGATATGATCTACTTAGGCCAAGGATGCTCCAGTGAAGGTAATTCGTGCCTTGATTATTCCCAGATGGCTTACTATAACGTGGGGCTCCACATTGTAGTAGCCTCAATTGGCACAAAACTGGATGAGTTTTGAGAACCCTAATTATGCAGCCATTGCAGGGTTTCAAAACTGCCTTCTAGGCTCAAATCAAAGTGCTAGTTACTATCTCTAAAGCTCTTTACAGTGCAGTGTGAGAATATGTTAGGCAACACCTTGCCGAAACTAAGTCTGACCACTTTATTCCTCTAAAAGAGAGCCTGTTGCAGATCCCCATCCTTAGTGGATTTACTGGCGTGGGTCCAGCAACAGGCCTCCATTTTATGGAGCACTCACAATCTGGAGATATAGATGGCCTCTAATTTATAGACCTTTCAAAACCTAGCCAGAGTAATGCTGTCTCAGCAGGTGTTTGACCTTAAGTTAATTTCCTACAGTAGTGGTACAATATGTTCATTTTGTATTGATTGTTTTTATTGCTTCCATGGGATTTTAATCAGTAATAAACTAAGTTCAACAAAAGGCATATAGTATTCCACACTACCAATATAAGACAAAAGAACAGTGCAACACACCTCCTTTAGACTTGCTTAAAAATGAGAAATTACACTAGAGCTGTTTTATAGAACTAGTTAGAATGTGTTGGTGTTTATATGAAAGTGATGTATTTTACTGGCTTTGTGGGTGGTGAATTATGGGATTTGTATGCATTTGTTGTACTTACTGAATGCATGAGAATTTTTAACATGGAAATTAATACATAGCCATTGTGACTAAAATAGAGAGAATTATGACGGCCAATTATACATACAAATCAGATCTGGATAAACTGAGTCTAAATTATAGTCATCAATTTTTATTAAGAAAATATTCACATTTTATAGTGAAACTTTGATTTTTCTGGATGTCCATTTAGTGCGTTTTCATATGCAACATTTTTTAAAAAGATTTCATCTCCAATTATTTATCTGAAGCAGTCTAAACAATTTTTTACATCTTTTCTCTAGTTATATAATCTATGTTTTTACAAAATGGTGCAAGTTAGTGTAAAAACATCGGTTATATAATGATACATTAATTCAGTTTGATTTAATTGACATTGATTTAAATGGGAACTGCTCTTCCTTATCCCAACTCCAATGGTCCATTAAATCAAAGATTTATTGTAAAAATGTTAATCTTGAGATTCTGGAGCAAACTTGGCAACTTTAAGACTTATAGACTTCAACTCCCAGAATTCAACTCCAATTCTGGGAGTTAAAGTCCACAAGTCTTAAAGTTTCCAAGATTGGGGACCTCTGTTCTGGAGATATATATATACAATATCATCTAATTGAATTGAAATGGAAATGGGCTGGTCACACAGCAAGAAGAACAGATGGCAGGTGAACCAACGCAATCAAAGAATAAATTACACTTCAAAAAAAAAATCTACAAAAGAGGTCTAAAACAAGATGGATCGACGACATCAGCAAATATTGCAGACCCAATTGGCAAAAGAAAGCTCAGAACTGCATGGCACGACAAAACCGCGCTCGACTAAAGCGCACCCGATTAAACTGCGTCGCTGACGTCATCAACAGGGCGACAACAGCGAACGCAGAGAAAGAAGGGCGCTTTAAATAGCGCTTTGAAAGCAAGCCGATTCAAGTTTAGGTAAGGGTTAGGTTTAGGGTTAGGTTNCAAAAATATTGGACAAAAATTTGGAAATGGGTACAAGAAATTACAGGAGAACAAATAAAATACAAACCCGAACTCTTTCTGCTGTGAATAATCAAGGGGAAATATACAAAGAAAATTAAGTACATATTAACACATCTGCTGACCACAGCTAGAATAGCATTTGCTCAATGCTAGAAACAATAATATCCCATCGGATGAATTAGTGATACAAACATTTTTGGATTGTGCAGAGAAGGACAAATTAACACTAAAGTTAAAAGACAAAGAAGAGTTGGAATATTATGAAATTTGGAACAATTGGTACAAATGGCTGCAAAACAAGAATAAAATTAATTAAGCCGAAAAACAATGCATATATATATATAGAGAGAGAGAGAGAGAGAGAACTGTGTATAAAGGTTTATAAACATAGAAGCGAAATAATATTTACATGTACAGTATGATGACATAATAATGTTGATATAATGACTGAAAGGTGTTGTAGAAGGAAAAAATAAAAAAATAAAATAAATTTCATGAAAAATTTATCCAGTCAGCAAAAATAAAAGGCACAACCAATTCCTCTATTCAAATGAAAAGAACAGTTTTTTTTCTTAGAAGATAAAATTAATGTGTTCTTTAATGCTTTATATTTGGTAATTAATTATAATCCTTCATCATAGAAATGAAAGAAAATAGACCCAGGAGCATTCTTGTCTGCCAACTGTATTTAGGATTTATGCTGGTAGTTTAAGAAATGTATTTTATATACTTAGTGTTGTATGAATAAAAAAAATGAACAAAACAACCGCATTTCTTTTGTGATCCTAGAGCACATCCCTTTGCAGGAATGAGTACATAAAAATACAAAGAAAGTTATCAATTTGACACTTTGTCAAACTTTGCTTAAGTACTTATATCAACAACAGCTGTTTTGTTTCTATCCTTAGAAGGATCTTTTGGATCCAACAAAGAACTTAAATTAATTTAACAAAACAGCATCTCCAAATGATAAAACCAGAACAGAAAATTAATGAAGTTTCACTTAGTACAATGTGATATGACTTCTAATCTTATTGTTATGGATAGACAAATTTCCAAAGTAAATATAAGTAGAGTTGAAACAAGTTTTTGAAATAAAATCTTCCTTCTCTTGGTAACCAGTGGTGTTCCCATGATTGTTTCATAAAATGTAAAACAGTAAGGGAAAAAAATACTTTTTATTTTAACTTATTAGTTTTAGTGGAGATTTTGCTAAAATGTTTGAAACTTGAAATCTTTGTTTTTTGTGGAAATATGTTAAAATACATTTATCAACCATACATATATGTAATTGTTTTTTCTTCTTTCAGAAAAAAATAATGATCTGGAAAAGGCTGAATCTGTTTGGACTAAAATGCAAGAAGAAAACGTTGTTCCCCGTTCAAGAACTTTGCATTTGCTAGGACATATTTTTAAAGCCAATAATAAGAAAATTCCATTTACTGTACCTGGGGTAAATTAGATTCAGTGTTTTTATGATGAAATAGCTACGCTAGAATAATTCTTTTTAATTAGATAATAAGTGGGTATTATGTATTTAGAAAAATAAAGACACTTATTTTTTTTCTTTTTAAGAATTGGTATGAAAGCAATGATGATTCTGCAGCAATTGGCTTGTCATCACTTCCTGAGCAAACATATCAAGTTAATGAAAAAATAAACCAATTTTGTAAAACTGGTAAACACACAGGTAAATCAGTTTTGTCCTCTTAAATCCTTGTTGAAGATAATAACTTTTTTTGTATAGTATGATGTTCTATGAACTTTAGTGCCAGAATATTTACAAAAATATGTTACCTGAATCTACTGTACCAAGTTTTTATAAAAACTTATTACTGTTCTAATTTTATTTCTGTTTTGATATCTGACAATTAATGATAGTATATTAAGATGGGGAAAATGCCACCCCAGAACAAGAAGACAGCACGATAGAAATACTGTAGAATAGAGATCATGAAGCTATAGCTTCTCTTGCTATATCTAGGTTTTTTTTTGTGGGGGGGGGGGGAAGGATCCTGTTTCCTGTAGACAAAGCAGTTAATCCATTGCCCTAAGCATAAGGAATTTGGAAGGGGCATGAATTAGCTGGACAAGATAGATCTTTTCTGGTTTGACATTACCCAGAATAGCCTAGAATTTTGAGCTAGACGAATACTACCTACTATGGCCCCCGGAAGGAGTTATGGCTGAAGAACTGGTATGGAGATTCTTTCTGCTTTGGTGCTCTTATTGGGCCTATTCAAGGGTGGAAAATTGTTTGGAGAAGCCCTAGAGATTTAAGAAAAGAAAAACTATCCCTATCCAACAAAAGTTATGAAAGTAAGGGTAGTAGGACTTCAAGTTATTTCTGTCATTCCTTTAGTTCTTACCATTCTAGTTCCTACTATTCAAAACATGCTGTTAGAAGAGAGACGTCTGAACAAGCCCCAGCAGCTCCAGCAAGAATGCACATTCTTTTTCTCACCCAGCAAAGAGGAGGACCAAAAATGGGTGCCTTAGCTTCAGTTAACCTGAATTTGAAAGGTCTTTAAGATCATATGACAACCTATGTGTATTCATTATCATGAGAAATAATCTATTGTTTCTCTCTCCAATGGATATTCTTCCCTTTCCAGGTGGATAAAATCTTGTATGAAGCGAGCATATGAGCTATATATTGAATTGTCACAATCATAAATACTACCAACTTAACCCATCCACCTTAGCCAAAGAGATATTCAGAGAGTGCTGCACAAAGTAGTTCCTATACAATTAATCTTTAATAAAGGATAAGCCCTTACAAACAGTTTGTTTGTTCCACTATCAAATGTTTTGACTCTGTTGTAGGAAAGCAATGTGTTGGTCTTATCATGAAAGATCAAAGTGTTCCATCTTTGGAAGGAGGAATGGAATTGGCATATTTGCCCCATTTCCTCGTACTCAGTATAATTAACTAGACTTTTTTTGATACTAGAGTAATTATTTTGTTGCTAATGAGATATTAAGGCCACACCTGGAATACTGCATCCAGTCTTGGTCACTACATTACAAAAAAGATATTGAGACTTTGGAAAAAGTACAAAGAGCAACTAAGATGATTATAAAGACCTGGAGACTAAAACATATGAAGAATGGTTGCAGTATTTCGGGGTGGTTAGTCTACAGAAAAAAAGGACAGAGGGTTCGGGGGCAAGGGTAGTTTTTTTCAAAAGATAACTGGACTTTCTGGTTTTCTTTGAAGACATTTTGCTTCTCATCCAAGGTTTTTCTTTGAAGACATTCTGCTCATCTGTCTGAATGGTGGGGAATGGAAGTATTTATACTCCTTGCAGACTGCTGGTCATTTGCATTCTTTTAGCGAGTCATTAAGCACAGCCTTTTTTTTTAAATTAAATCTTAAAAAAGAATGCAAATGACTAGCTGTCTGCAAGAAGTATAAATCCTTCCATTCCCCTCTATTCAGACAGAGCTGAAGAAGCTTCTTGGATGAGAAGCAAAATGTCTTCAAAGAAAAACCTTTCTAAAGTAAACTTGAACAGTGGGGGTTTTTTTCAGATAAGTAACATTTATTTTTAGAGCAGATTAATGTTTTTGTGGGACATTTATATCTGCTTAATCTTGTTCAACAAAGTAAATGATTGAAAAGAATATTTCCCTTTTCCTCCTTAGCTTCCTCTTCTTAATAATGTCTTTTGACTGTCAGTTATTGTGAATGTGTGAAATAAAACCATTAATCAGTCAGATAAATGCTGTTGTAGTATATTTATAAATGGTATGTTTCTGTGTAAACCTTGTTGTAAGCAAATAATTTCATCTCTCAAAAGTAGAAATGCTGCTAACATTTCCAAAAGATTTCTGGCATAAATATTAACCACAAGAATTAGGAATTATCTTAAAATTGAATGTAGAGTATTCTTAAATGAGTAGCATTGCAATAATTTGACAGTGATTTTGAAAAGGGCTGTTTTGTGACTGGCTAAGATATAACTTGTTTCTCATTGGTGGCAGTAATTCCCCCCCCCCCCTTTAATATGAAGACAAATTTAAGTTGCTAAAAGTTCAATAGAAATAAGATTTTTATTGGACACTAAAACAGCTCTTAAATGTAGCTTTTTGCTCAGAAAGAAGCAGAGAAACATTTGTTTCACATGCTGTTATAAAGAAGAGATGGGAATTTTTCTGTGCCATTTCAATAAATGCTGACATTTATTGTTTTTTAAATTCTTTTGCAGAGGCATACAGACATTTTCTAATGGCGAAGGACGTTGCACTTAATGTCAGTTGTTACAACAATCTTACCAAAGCATTGCTCAGCCATGGTTCTCTTACAGAAGCAATGGAAGTTATAAAAACGTAAGTCATTTTATGTATGCATCTCTCTTTAGCAGGTATGGGCAATTTTGCCCATACATGGGTAATTTTGCCCATACATTATTTCATTCCTTGCCTATTATTTAAGGACAGTGTCAGTGTAATGTACTAGACTTTCTATCGTTAAATCAAAAAAGTTCACTTTCTGAAGTCATCTTTGTCAATAGACCATCATGACCAAGTCAGACATTTGGTACACTTAATAATTTAACAAATGCGCACATTATCAAAACACCAAACACTTCTTATGTGTAGTCCTGGGATCTCAAGACCAGAGAACAAATATTCTCTTGACAGAATCATATGAATAGAAAAAAATGTCATTTAGTGCATCAGACAGTTTAGCTTCATGCATAAAATCCCCAGTGTGGAATAGATATCTGAATATGCAGCTATGCCACACATTTCTTCAATTGTTTGAATCTCTTAAAGTAACTTTCTTCACATAAATTTATTACAGTCTGGATTGATTTTATATTGATAGTGAGAAAGAGAGATTAACATGCAGAAGATTATCTTTGGCCATCATATCCAACTGTAATCTGATCCATCACACTGTAGAAATAGCAGTGGTGGGTATCAGCTATAAATATTGAGACTGTTAGAGGAATGAATTATCTTTACAGTTAGCTTACATTGTAACCAAGAATGAGAGAAAAGTTTTAAATCAGAGGACTGTGTTGAGAGGGAAGTTTATTAGACTAAATTTATTATAACAAAAACAACAATAATAGAATTGAATAGCTACTAGAAAATAATCTGAAAATTTTATATGTTCAAAAAAATAGAGATTTGTTTTAAGTAATTAATATACAGAAACACAAAATTACCCTCAAGTTGACTAACTTTCAAAAAATAATCTGCTAGAAATAAAGACGAACATGGACGTTAATCAAGATTTAAATTGTGAACTAAATAAAATTATACTAACATTATTTAAAATAAAATGATGAAATAAAATCTAACTTCAGCATTTAACCCTAAAATCTTACCTTTATTTCACTATTCTTGGATATGTTGCACAACTAGGAATTAAATGGCTACTAGTAAATAACAGAAGATTGATCATGTGAGTTAGCTTCAGCTCTACAGTCCTTTCCAATTGCCCTTCCCAAATGCATGGAACCTTTCTGTTGCACTTTAGCTAATTCTCCTTTAGCATAATTTAGCATTGTGTCTCAAATCCAACAAAAATATGTTTAGTCTTTGTTATTATTATATTTATTTATTTATTTATTTATATCCCACCATTATTATTTGTATAAAACTCAGGATGGAGAACATACCTAATATTCTTTCCTCTTCCTATTATTTTAAACATGCAAGTAAAAAAAATGGGTTATGAAAAATAACAAAATAAAAACCATCCATGTTCTCTTCATTGATATTCTAGAGAAAATGAGAGGCAGTATATTTGATTTATATATCTAATGAATCGTGCTTTACCATTGCCTCCAAAATGGATTGCAGTATAGATACTAATCCAGAAAATAAAAAAAACAGAAAGAAAAAGATTCTCTTAATCAAATAGTAGCCTTATGTAACAAGAGAGACTTTTCTATAACACCTGCTCATCTTGCTACATTTTACATTAATTTTAATAGGATATACATATGTTAGGTGTCAAAACAAAGAATTTTCAGAATTGCTTGGTAATTTTGTAAATATAAATCACTGGCACTGTTGAATATTTAATAAATTATAGAGAAATAGCTTTTCATCACTTTGGCAAAGGTTAACATTTTTGGTGAAAATTTAAGCAAGCTAATATATCAGAACACAATACACTTTACATAGTCTATTACCAGCAGAGACAAAACACTAAAATTAAAAAAATAATAATTTGGTAATCCAAGTGAAATACAATAAGATTGTTATATTGGGAAAAGAAAATTCCAAGATCAGGTTATTTTGGTGGCAGTTCTGCCTAGTTTACAGTAAGGAAGAAATAATAAGTCATTGTTTTCTTTTTCCTACCTGTGTGGGTAGATATTTTTTAAAAATCAATAATTTCGGATAGGTAAATTGGAAATACTGAATGTTAGTGCTTTTATAGAAAAATATTTTTATTATTATTGTCACTTCAAAGATCTTGATGAAATTTAACTATAGTTCTAAAATAGAAATGTAGACATTTTGAAATAAGGGATTAGGTCTGTAATAACAGCAACACTTATTTAATTGCACTAAAGATTGGAAGATTGAGGAAAGTAAATCCTTTGTAATATGGCATTTACAGTTCTGTGCATGAGTTTTTGACTTACAGGTTTTGACAGATGGGGCAAAAGAAAAAAAAAAGAGCAATGAGAGCTTAGGCAGAGATTAAGCGGATTGGTTTGGAAGAGTAAGGAAATCCTGAGGGCCCAGAAGCTGAAAGTGACTGAGAGGAAGGTCATATTATGAACTTAGCAGAGGATTTTCTTGAGATTGAGGAGAATAATTTAGCAATGACTCTGTTTATTTCCTAATCCGCTCAGTTCATAAATTCAGAAAGGTGGGATCTTCTGTTGTTTCTCACAAGATGATCCCTGTGGTTTATCCTGATTGTTGATACAGCAAATGTCAGCCTTGTATTTACTCCTCTCAGGGGGAATTTTAAGAGTAAAGTCTATATTTAATTATGTGAGGACCATTTAAAGCCATGGACATGAAAATAGAAAAAGATTTCTGATCAGCATGTTCAAAGGGTTTTTTCCCCCCCAAAAGGATTTAAATATTAGTAAAGCTAATTTCTGGCAGTTTCTGCTACATGAAGTTGTTCATTTTTGTTTTGTTTTTGCCTTTTAAATTACAGAATTAATGAATGATGCAATTCAGAGTAATACATAAAGTTTTTTTTAAAATTCTGCATATGTCTAGATGACAAAAATTTGAAAATTAAATCAACCAAATTATACAGAACTGGTTCATAATATCCCTTTGATTCTATTTAAAATATACTGTGCTGAAAATAAATGTTT